CTTTAAATTCCTGACACGAGGTATATTCAATGAAACATGTCAAAATAATAATTATTCCTTTGTTTATTGTGTACATTGTTGAGAGAGTAAGCAGGAAAATATCTCAAAAAGAGCTTCTGTCTAAACTGCAGCCAAATATGATAAATATTGCACTGTACGTTTGACACTTTTGTTCAAATAGATAAACAAATACAAATGTATCATTATGACCATGATAATAAGGTTTATCTACAGATAACACGTTTTTATTCATGTTATATTTATTTTAATTACAAAGCATTTGAAAGAAAAACGTGCATTATTGCATTATTATGACATAAAATCGGCTATTTTCCCCTATTTTGCCCATGTCATAACGGGACCAAAACCATGTGTTAACATAGTCACGCGCTCATGTTATAGCCCGGTTTCACCTATGCGCAATACATACAGGGCCCAGTAAACAAACAAAAAAATTGACGATTTGGCCTGTGTGTTTGCCAAAGAGTCATGCCTCTTGTTATATTGATTTTATTGATTCGAGGGCGGTAATCGCATTACGGCGAGCAGCATTCAAGTAACCATGCCGGAAATACGGCGTATAGACATCGCTAGTAATCTTGGTTGTCGCCCTTTCTTAGTTTCTAAGAAACGGACAGTTGTCAATGTAAACAAATACCTGTCATTCAGTTTAACCCTCCGATTAACTTACAAAACAAGATAACACAAAATGAATATCAGAAAATATTGTTTTATTGATGTTTATATTGATAAATGCTCTTTATATTTCTTTGAGAGAATAATCTTTAGTGCCTGAATTTTTTTATAAACTTGTGTGCTTGAAAAAAAACAATTCTGATGTCACTGATATTTTCTCTACCGTCAATCTGAAATCATTCTAAGAATTTCTGAGGGTCATGTTTTTTCTTGGATAGAGGGTAGAGTATTGTATTGTTTTTTCTTTCTTGGGATAATAAATCTCCAATGTCAAGCTTTGTTAAATCAATTAAAATTCAAAATTTCGTTCGGTTATGAGAATTTCCCAACTTGTTGGCCCCGGAAAAATAAAACGCATACGTAAAACATGTAAAATTAGATAAATACCGTCCAAGCACAAGGATTTAATGTATGTGTTTTATATTAAATATACATCATCAATCTGTTTTAAATTTTATGTTATAATAGCGTCAACGCACGTTTATTTCGTGTTATTAAGTCTGCAGAGTCCCTCAGAACTGTTGGAGCCCCCGCCTTACCGGGCTCGGGCACCAACTGTTCCTCGGGACTCTGCTGACGTTATAAAACGTGCGTTAACCCTATAATAATGCACGAAGAATTAATATCTATTTCCATTCTAACACGTCGAGAAAAAATATAATTATAATTTTAAAGTTGGACTTTATGTTTGGTGGTTAAATTTGTTTTCGCCTCAGAGTTTCCAATATGAACGTTCTTTAAAGTCTGTTCAAGTGGCTTGAAAAAACTGTCGTTAAATCTACCGTGTGTAGAAAATTTTTGAGAATAACGAATTTTGAAAACGTTGATACAACTTTGTTTGTATATTTTATTTCACTCTATAATTTTTCAAGCGAAAGAGTTACGAGCCTTGTTTTTCAGTCACTTTCTGATGAAATAAGCAAGATACATTTAAAAACATATTTCACTTTATTAGAAAACTTGAATATGATCACATTGCTTTCATATTCTTATGATCAAAGCTGGAGAGGAATATTGCAAAACTAAAAGTGTATCTGTTATTAACTTACAAGAATGTAATTATCCAAACCAAAAATATTCATCGTCTATATTTCAGTACGTTTATTTAATATTATTCCGGTCAAACTCTACGCGCTTTAAAGACGTTTTTACAATTAGATTTTCCATAGTAACCGATGTTGTATTTCGCACATGCGCATTCTGCGTAGGGCAAACACACAATAACGAGAAACTACTATTTATTATACTTAAGGCTTTAATAGACGAACAAAGTATTTTTGTAGTGAATGCAGTCAGTACTTAAAACATGAATTTATATTTATATACAAAAATGCGCGGGACTAATAATTCAATGACATAAATATCTTATGTTTAAGGTATCATTAGACGATTTTTTTAGCACATTTTCTTTTGAAGCAGCATGGTGTTAAAGATAAAAAAATTATCACCCCTGTACTACATAATATTTCACAATTTGTATTCTACACTTCCTTTGAATAAGTGTATTGGAAAGGTGGAAAGTGTCAAACAGATTGACACGTGTCCGGTTTTTTTTTCAGCTAGTTTACAATATCCCCCAACCGTGACGATTAAGTACTATGACATAGTTAATAACGAAACTCGTAATTTAGGAACCTTTTAAGCACATGTATACCAATCTCATCAATCTTGATTGATTTTGTGAAGTGACGAATAGTGTGACGCTCATTTATATTTGTTACGAGATAAAATATATGCTATTTTACTACCCGTCTCTACTTTTCAAAATTTAGTTAAATATATTTATGTGACTTAAAAAGTTTTTATTTGGCACAGGGTCTTTAAAATCTATTTGAAACCCCCTGTTTTGCATCACTGTCTTTCGGATAAACGATAAAATTAGGTAAACTGACATATAAAAATGCAATATCACGTGTTCTGACTTTTTTCATAATGATAATTAACCTCGATGTAATAAGATTTCTATAGTTATTATACGAACTTTTTCAACAACAATTAGAACGACCTCTATATTTGTTAATAGACATATTTCCACATATTTTTACAACAATTATCTCAATAATAGGTCCGTGATCGCAAGGGAAAATTCTTAAACTATCATATTTTCGGTGCTTTTAGAAAGAGGGATTTTTTTTGGATTTTTTAAAGCTAATTTTTATAATTTCTACTTTTTACCTTAAACTAAATAAGAAATGCCAATGTCATTCTGTAGGGCAATGCTCTTTTGCCATACGAAGTTTTTGTTTGCGCGGAAAAATACTACTTTCGGTTGATTTTTATAGCAATGGACCGCATCGTAAATCGGTCTATAGAAATTGTTTAACAAAAACTATCGATTTACTCAAAAATTTGGCATGATTTTAATATTTATACACATATTCTTCTAATAATTAATAAATATACGCAAAAGATTGAAATAATTGATTAAATGCACAAATAATTCTAATAAGTATTAATTTTGCTCTTAAACTTACAATTAATAAATACATGTATGCACAAACTATTCTAATCATTTTTAAATATGCACAATATATTCTGATAATTGATCAATTTACACAAAATTTTCTAATGATTTAGAATTATGCACAATATATTCTAATGATGTCGGAACGCATAATAGCTTTATTTCTTGCATATCAGACAGGATTATCTACCGTTTACACCGGTGCTAGAAAACTATGTCTTGCACAAGTACTTTAAATGACGTCATTGCCGCGGGCATTTTATGAATGAATTGCGTTCTTCGGATGACGTCATTTAACTGTTATGAATGAAGTTGTAAGTTCATACGCTACTTTAAGAAAAAAGTGCGTAATGGAAATATCAGTTTCCGTAGTTTCAAATCTGAAAATAATTGATATATAATTTACAAGACATAGAATCAAACACCGGCTGTCGGTGTAGACGGGAATATCTAGCTTTTGGGTAACTGTTTAGTGGAAACTCGGCAGAGCCTCGTTACCGCCGTAAACAGCCACCCTCGAGCTAGATATTCTGGGTGTTAGATTTATATAATCTACTGTGACTACGATGTAATGCTAAAACTCCTACGTGTACATAAATAGATGAAATGAATGAAAGTCAAGATAGACTTTTTTTGAATTTTGTCATGCAACATCGTTTAACAAATGTAATAGATAGCTCCAAAGGTGCGCCAATATTGGTGAAAACACATGTTGGTCAGTTAACGGGGTCGAGCATCGCATAATATCTACTTACACACATGAATAATTTGAATTGTATTCCTGACTTTTCATTCGCCAACCCCAACCAATTTTCCGCTCATAACGTATACATACGTTAATGTTATACATTAAATTTTTAATATACATACTGATCTATTGTCAATCTGAACAATATGAAACCATTATTAAATGGGAACAGGAGAAAGAGGAATCATTTAAAACCATTTTCAATCAAAATAGGAACGAAATAAATAATTAAAATAAGCAAATATATTGCAACAAAAATACTTTGCTGATAAATTTACAAAAACTTTTCGCGAAGTAGCATCTACCCATTTTAGTGTGAACTATAAACACACCTGTCCTTGTAAAATTTAATTTAAAAAAACTCATTTTATTCAACGTAATTTGAAGCTAAATTATGTAATCAATTGAATCGAGTTTACTTTTTAATTATTTTAACTGGTGTAATCTTTCTCTATCGGAATCCGGGCATTTTCGGTGAGAGGCAAGTGATTTTGAAGTCAACAAACTTAACCACACGGCCATGGACGACTGTTAATAATGTCCAAACTTTTTTTTCCATCTCACTGGGATAAATTTCAACAATACATGTATGTACATAATCATATACACAGTGTAGCAAGCAAATGGAGCATGTTAACCTTATTATATTCGTGATGAAGTTCCAAATCCAAACATAAAAACCTATAATATAATACAACAGACTTTCGCCTTGATAGCATTCCATGCACGTCTACAAAACTTGACAAATCCAGATTCATCTCTTCGTCCACTCGAATAGTCTGTTTTGAACTGGTGTAGACTTTTCGTTTCTGAAGTTCCAAAATCTATACCTGTTTGATCGTCTGGAACGTCTGTACTATCATCATCGTTGGGTATATCCCCACTGTTACCAGACGAAAACTCGGCGTGTACTGAATTAATATCAACTTGTCTATCTTTTCTTCGGTTGATCTTCTGTTTTTCTATAGCAGAATCCGGACCACTTGGAATACTATTGGTCATATCATTACCTTCTATGGCTTCAAGCATTTTACGTTGTGTTTTAGTTATTTCTACACCAGCTTTCATTAAAATGTAAATTGAATTTTTAGAGATTTCTTCTGAGCACCAGTTTGTAGCATAAACAGTGGCTAACTGGAAGACAACATTTGTAAAATGGGTATTGTTGTTAGTACTCTTTATTTCTTCCACCATGTCTAAGATTCGTTTAACTTGCGCTTCTTTTCGTTCTATGTCAGGTGATGCATTTTCGATTGGTGCTATTCTAAGTTTGCCACCACATTTTTTAATCAAGTCGTCCAAACCTTCTGTTGTATCAGACGAAATATATTTTTCTAAAGATTTTTCGTCTTCCGTTTTGGTTAGAATAATACATGAATATTTCTCCACACCTTTGCCAAACCAATCGAAAAATAAATTCTTTGTTTTTACAAGCTCGTCTGTAAACCGACCTTTTTCGAGCACAAACGCGATTGCATGAAAACCAGGCGTTGTGAGAAGAAGTGATCGAATGAGTTGTTTATGTATTTCACGCTCAGTTTTTTGAGTGTCGAATAAACCAGGTGTATCAACGACTTCGATAGTTTTTCCAAATCGTTTAAATACCTGAAATAAAGATTAATCGCTTTAAAAATCACAACTTCGATTTTCATGGTAAATGTCTGCTTGGTAAATTGCCCTTTTCTTAACCTACATTATATCAAATTCTTACATTAACGGTCATATAAGTAGGAATATTCCACAACGTTTACTTATTAGGTAGGGTACTCATTCATTATTTATTTTCATGATGTGAAATAAAGGTTAAACACACCAATATAAAAGTGACAATGGCTTATGTTTAAAACAAACTGCTGAACCAAATTGCCTTGATACGGCATTGGCATATATAAAAAAGAGTAATACGGAATCACTACTTTAATATTTTTATTTTACTTCCATCAATGTTGTATTTTTGTTTAAAACTCTACATTATGTATTCTACGTTTATCCGCAAGTGTTCAATAAAACAAGGAAACAGGACAAACACGACACAACAGCTTCACTTTAGAAGATCGACAACAATTATACGTAGTACGAAGGGTATTTTTGCGTCTTTTGTGTTTATTATCGTCTCAACATTTGCCCCGAGATGGCACACGAAAATTATACTTTTCCTGTGTAGGGCAATTATACTCTAAAATGCTCTTATCACTTTAACACTTGGTGGCTGATTTTTTAATTATCAATAAATCCAGTTGAAATACAAAGCTTCCAAACAATTGGTGAATCCCTTTTTATGTATGCTTTACAAGCATTTACAGTCTAATTATTTCTTTGAAGGAATGGTAATGTTTCTAATTTTGTTCAAAATATTCATTTGAATATCACTCCCCCACAAACACAAACGATGAAAGAAATATAAACAAATCTTTAGTTTCTTCAAATTATTGAAAATTCTAAAAATTGAAGAAAAATGTTAAATATACCCCTGACCACTGGGAAGTAAAAGTTTCTGATTTGGCTCCGGATGATATCTTAAACTTTTCTGTTCCAAGAATCGAATTTGCTGTAGAACTTTTTCCATGACCCGTCCGTCCAACAAGTAAGATACGTATATCTATAAAATAAGATAGGTAACATTACTGTAATTATCATTAAATGCAGTATTTCTTTATATTTTGGCGTCCTAAGGATGCCAAATATATCCCTTATTACACCACTGTTCGTATTTCAAGAAGTTGTCATGGAACTTATTCTAAAATTTTGTCTTCAAACAAATCATGACATATATCTTTGACACAAAGAATAGCTAACATTTTTTTTGCTTGTTTGTTTTTGTGGTTTTCTTTTTTATTTATTTCATAAAATGCAGTATTTCTTTCCACGACGTCCAAATAAAGGCAAGTAAATTAACATATCATAATCGTAAATCTTGTTTTATGTTTAACTAGAATTAAAAATTTAATCCTGTCCTCGATTATATTTGAAGCTTCCAATTTCGCGATTATTAAGCACAGATAGGACGTTCTGATTCGTGGCCACGAGATATTACTCAGAAAAAATGCTATGCCGTGGCCAAAGGCTATAACGCAGAAAAAAAGGAAAATCAAAATGCTATCTCGTTCCAACGAGACACAAATATTGAAAGAAGAAAACAAGATTGCATTTGAGAAAAATGCTATGCCACCGCATTTATACAACACTAAATAGTAGTGTAGAAACAGATTTTTTTTTGTTTCTATACAATTTTGAAGATTGTCATAATGCATAGATCTCTGACCTATCTAATTCTTATTTAATATTATCAGATTAGTGGTTAAATCTATTGTTAATCCAATAAAAGATCAGAGTAGGAATATATCAATGCACTTGAGTCTAGTGAATTTGATGGTCATATTTCACACAGCCTAAATTTCATGACTACATCAAAGGACAACACAGTAAGACACTTTGTCAAAATCTAGGTCAGCTGAAATCAAAGTTCATTTTTTAAACTAAAACTGTGCACATGGTCAAAATTTCTTTGCTGTACATCAAAGGACAAGAAAGTAGGTCACTGTCCCCTTGGGCAACATGGTTCAAATTTTATAGCTGTACATAAAAGGACAAGAAAGTAGGTCACATCATCAAAATCTAGGTCACCTGATATCAAAGTTCATTTTTACAACCAAAACTTTGCACATGGTCAAAATTTCTTTGCTGTACATCAAAGGACAAGAAAGTAGGTCACTGTCCCCTTGGGCAAGGCAAAATTTTGGACCCAAGGGTTTAATTCAAAACAATCTTGATACAGGTCCACCAAACAACATTTCAAGTCAAATATCTAAGCTGTAGCTTTCTCCCATTCAGAAAAGATTTGTTTTATTTTCTGTTTTTACTATGTGAACACAATGAGAATCACTGTCCCTGGGCAGGGCCAATTTTAACAGTAGGGGCATAATTAAAACAACTTTAATTTAGTAGAGAACCCATATATGATATTATATAGCAAACATCAAAGCTCTATGCCTTGTACCTTCAGACAATTTTTTTTAATATTTTTTTACTATATGTACATAGTGAAAATCAATGACTCCTGGGGTGGGGCCAATTTTGACCCCAGGGCTATAATGTGTACAATCTTGCTAGAGGTTCACTACACAATGTTTCATGCAAAATATCTTAACTCTAGCCTTTGTAAGTTTAGAGAAGATGATTTTTTAAGTTTTTACTATATACATATAAGGAAAACCTATGGCCCACGGGGCGGGGCTAATTTTGACACAAGAGGCAAAATTTGAACAACTTTGCTAGAGTACCTATAGATGATATCATTTAACAAATATTCACGCTCTAAGCCTTGTACCTTCAGACAATAAGATTTTTTGATTTTTTACTATACATGTATGTATATTTTGAAAATTAATGACCCCCGGGCAGGGGCAATTTTGACCCCAGGGCTATAATTTGAACAATCTTGCTAGAAGTTCACTTAATAATGTTTCAAGCAAAATATCTAACCTCTAGCATTTGTCAATTGCTAGAAGAATTTTTTTTACTATAAAGTTTTTACTATATACATATATGGAAAACCAATGACCCCCGGGGCAGGGCCGATTTTGACCCCAGGGCTATAATTTGAACAATCTGAATAGAGGTCTACCAGACAATGCCTTATGCAAAATATCTAAGCTCTAGGCCTTTTGGGTCTTTACAAGAAGGTATTTTAAGTTTTTACTATATGTACATATAGTAAAAATCAATGACCCCGGGGCGGGGCCGATTTTGACCCCAGGGCTATAATTTGAGCAATCTTGGTAATGGTCTATCAGACAATGCCTTATGCAAAATATCTAAGCTTTAGCCTTTTGGGTCTTTACAAGAAGGTATTTTAAGTTTTTACTATATGTACATATAGTGAAAATCAATGACCCCTGGGGCGGGGCTGATTTTAACCCCAAGGTTATAATTTGAACAATCTTGGTAGAGGTCTACCAGACAATGCCTTATGCAAAATATCTAAGCTCTAGGCCTTTTGGGTCTTTACAAGAAGATTTTTTAAATTTATTCTTATAATTCCTTTTGGTTCACTATATAATCTATATAACACACACACACACGCACGCACGCACGCATGCACCAACACGCGCGCACACACACACACACACACACACACACACAAACAAACACACACACAGGTGAATCGCTATATGCCACCGCATCGCAGATGCTGCGGTGGCATAAAAAACAAAAACAAAAGATCCCTAGCTCGTGGCTACGAGGGAAACAAACCGCGTGAAAAAATCGCTTCCTCACGAGAGATGGATTTTTTTATGTTGTTTTCTTCCTAGTTGTATCTCGCGGGAACAAGACAGCATTCTTTTTGGCTATATCTCATTATCCGGGATAGCTTTTTTTGTTTTATCTCATGGCTACGAGATAGGAAAAGAAAAAAATCAGATTGTCTCCTTGGTGCTTCCATACATTTCTTAGTAACACTAATTATTATTTTTTCTCATTTGAAGAAATGACGTCAGTTACAATAAGTAACGATTTAACTTTTTTTTCATCAGACATGGAAAGGCTTACGTGCTCAATTCATTTTCCTAAGTATTGTCTCTTGTAAATTTTTCCAGTCATCGAATGGCGTGGTATTTCAAACTTAATGTTTGTGACCAGTTTCTATCACCGTTTCTCGCGTTAAGAAATGTTAAGTCCGTATGAATTAAAAGAAGGCTAATGTCCTTTCCCAATATTAGATTACGAAGTTATGAATACACTGGCATAATACACTGGCTATGTTTAGTAACGCTACCATATCATATAACAAGTCTTTTTTCTTCATCTCCTTGTTTTCATTTTGGTTACAGTGAATAAAGACATTATCCGATTTTTAATATGATAATTTAATCAGATATATGTTCATGACATTCTTTAATTCCTAAAAGATTAAGAAGAATATAAACTCTTTACATACCAGAATCAATACTGCTCTTTTTCTTTGTCGCCATCACTAATTGACATTATATCACAAATTGTGTTTAACTAGCTTCACAACTAGTTAATTGCATAGTGTGAACGTGACTCATATGCAGTGTAAAATAAAATGATAAGCAAGCAGGTTATCTTTCGGATTGTCGAAAATTATAGGCTATCATGTCATGAGTAGAGTAGAGATAAAAGTGTTACATAAATGTACCATGTTGAAATAAAAAGTCAAATGTCAAACTAGACCTGGTAACCACAGATTATATTGTTTGTGTAATACATAATTGCTCCGCGCCCACAGGCGCGAAGCTATTTACGTTTACTAGTGTTTTGTCAATGGAATCGATTTTAACCAATTAATCGCTTAGATTTACAGCTATAATAAATTTGGAATCAAACATTTTTGTTTGTTTCTTTCATTTTACAACTTTTCCAACAATATTTCAGTCATATATGCAGGTAGTTTCCTTACCATCGTTCCTGGAGAGTTACACCAGTACTAGACTTCCTTCCTCCGCGCTAAACTACCAAAGCATCTCCCGGGGATCGAACCAAACATTCCTTCCAATTTCTTTTATGTAAAGTAATGTATTGGTTGCCCCCTTCGGTGATTCGCAGCATGTCATATTACGTACTGAAAGGAAGAAATTTCACGCCTCAACCGCTTGGTTCTTGAATTATGTCTCCCAAATTTTTTGGCAGACATATTGTTTTTGCCTTCGCCGTCTGTCCGTTTGTCTGTCAGTCCGTCCGTTGTTCGTCCGTCCGCACAAAGCTTGTCCGCCCTTCACAGGTCAAACTACTGGTGGGATTTCAACCAAACGTTACAGGAGTGATCAGTATTATCCCTAGTTGTGCACATTACCGGCACGTTCCGCTCCGCTGCACAAAATGGCTGCAAGAGCTAAAAATAGAAAAAATCTCGTCCGCCTTTCACAGGTCAAAATACTGGTGAGATCTAACTAACCTTATAGGAGTGATCAGTACCATCATTAGTTGTGCACATTACCGGTACGTTCCGCTTTGCTGCACAAAATGGCAGCCAGAACTAAAATAGAAAAATCTTGCTCGCCCTTCACAGGTCAAACTACTGGTAGGATTTCAACTAAACTTTACAAGAGTGATCAGTATATCCCTAGTTGTGCATATCACCGGTACGTTCCGCTTTGCTGCACAAATTGCCACCAGAGCTAAAAATAGAAAAATTTTGCTCGACCTTCACAGGTCAAACTACTGGTTGGAATTCAACCAAACTTTACAGGGGTGATCAGTAACATCCCTAGTTGTGCACTTCATCGGCATGTTCCGCTTTGCTGAACAAAATGGCCACCAGTGCTAAAAATAAAAAAATCTTGTCTGGCTGTCACAGGTCAAGCTACTGGTGGGATTTCAATGAAACTTCACATGAGTGATCATACATAGTTTTGGGAGACATATGTTTTTGTGACAAAAACCCTACTTGTTATAACCACTGTATCTTTAGTCCAAGGCATTAATAGAAACCTTTTTCTTTTAATTTGACATGAAAAATGCATGTTATATTACTATATTAGACCCTTTGTTTCTATTTTTTTTATTTACTGTTTGTATATTTGTTACAATTATAATAATAAGATAAAAAAATGAACAATGTTTTTCGTCCGCCCATTTATCTATGATACACAATTCTGGTAAAATCCAATAAACCATTGGAAAATGTATAAGAATATCTGGTGATCGTCATTTGCCGTATTTCTTGCTTTGATTTGCATTAATGCTTTTCTTGTTATATTATGATATACCATTTGCCGCGGAACATTTTTAAAAATAAAGTCGATGAAGGTTTTTGTCCTGGCTAATTCACATAAGGATTTTTATATTTCTTACAATGATAAGTTGTTGTCATTTGTACAATTAAATGAGTAGCATTATATGTGAAAAAGACAATGCACATGCTTTGATATCTTTTATCATCTAACATTGCGGACTACAATAGTGACACAAACAGAATAATGTTGCACTTCTGTCATGTAACATTACATTTACAAGTCTTGTAAAAAAATCCGGAAACAAAGTGATCCCTCAGAAGCATTAATCACAACAAAATTACAAGAGAATTGCAGACACGGTTTGATCGAGTCTGTACATGAGGGATAATGAATATGTGCAACATCCCTAACGCCCGCAAGGGCCGGCTTAAGCGGTACACAATTCTTAACACTTAATAGTGCTGGCATCAATGATCCCGAAGGACCAGAAAAATATAACAACGCTGAAGTGAAGTACGGGGCATCTTTTTACGGCTGCCATACAGCACTTGACACGTGCTGTTGTGAAGTATATAAATCTGGAAACAAGGTGATCCCTCGGAAGCATTAATTACAACAAAATTACAAGAGAATTGTAAGTCTTGTTTGTGTTGGAACTACTCTCCTTACCAGGAAGGCATCAGAGAAAGCATTTTTAGTGTAATGTCTGGTCCCTCCATCATTGACAGTGCATACCAGAAGTATAATTATATAAAAATGATTTACAAAACATCTTGAATAATAGTACTTTATCTGAATAGAACATGACCTGTACGTTGGAATGATTTAATAAGATATATGTAATAAGCAGAGCTTCTCAATGGCTACATTGCAGCATCATTTGTACTTGTTTGTAATAATTTTTTATTAAACCTCCATTTATGGAACGGTATCCAAGAGTTCCTGCCGTTCACCGTACAGCAATTTTATTGGGGAATGACAACCGGTAAAAATCTGACCGGGCCATCAGCAAGTGGCAATTTTAATCATTGAAATACTTTGCGGTTATTCGCACTGTACTTCTGCTCTGCTAATTTGTAAAAGTATATGCGCCTTGGAGAGTGGTCACTAATTTCGATCTAATATTAATTTAAAGAAGTGAATAATGTCAGTAGCTTTCAAGATTGATGATTTATGCAAAACTTTTAAAAAGAATTTTCTGTGTTTCAAATAATAACGATTATTTCTCTAAATACAAATCACAGTTATGGGCGTTGGATATTGAATTCCAACAGTGACCCTGAAGACATCTACATGTATTAGGTTCAAAGTGTAGAACTTTAGTCGTTTTGAAAGAGGATGTTGCATAAATTATGTTATGTTATACAATAATGCTATTCAACCATAGTTATATGCCTACCAAAAACACACACTGACAGTGTACATTGTATGAACATCAAGACAAAACGTAAGGTCCAAACATTTTATACTATATTAAATGTATGTGAATAAAAGTGAATAGAAAAATTAATATTAACGTGACGTTATTGCCATCCAATGGACCTTTCCGCTTTTTCGTAGTGGAGCCACACCTTTTCCATTCATTGCTAGGTCAACTGCTCACATACAGTATCAGAAACATAACTATGTGTTGTTTTGTGCAAACCAGGTCAACCAGTGACTATGTATTATCTCAGTGTAGCAATTGGATAACAAGTCAGTCAATTTACATTAAACTGTAAACACTGGAAAGATCCATTGTAAATGGCGTGTTTACTGGAAAAAGTCATAATAGCATTACTTTTTTGTCCATATTGTTTAATTGTTTTCAAATATTTATTTTGTTATAAATAAATAATCAATACTTCAAGTTACCCACGGGAATTTCTATAAATAAACTCCGTGCATTATAAGTACTAATCATTTGGAGAAAAGAGTGGAGCAGTCTTTTTATATTTTAGCCAGTTTTTCAAATTTTATCCGGACCATTTGTCAACTAATCATCAATTATTAGACAATCACCGTTATATATGTCGAACTTTTGAAATAAATATGTAATTTAGACCAACTTCACAACGACAAAAATGAGTAAAAAGACACATCAAGAGAAGTAGAGAAGTTGTAATGAAAAAGAAAACAATATTCTGGTGTAATCGTTTTCTATCTTAGGGAAAGGATGAGTAAAAATCAAATTTTATAGGATGCAAATTCAAATATTTCAAAAGGAAGGTAGCACTTGTAACTTACATATGAAGATGCTAAAGTTAAGAATCATTCAAATTGTTTTTTTTTGCCTTAGGGTTTCAGTTCAAATGTTTGGGTAAAAATTGCTCTTCTGTTTTTTCTCAAAAAAAACACATGGATTTAGAGATTTATTAGTGTCATATTTTACACCAAATTGTAGCTGATGAAATTATCTTTTGGAATATAAACTTAGATTTCTGATAGAAATAGTGATTTTGTAGAAATTTTGCACAAAGTGTTTTTTTTTTCTTTGTCTGTATTGGTTTGGATTTACCTAGACATATTTACTTGATTGTACCTGTGTTAAATTGATCGGAGTGAATTATTGGATTAAGTCAAACAAAGGATTAACTTTTATAATAGACACACTATACAAGATTATACAAAAGAAAACTGTAAACTGATCAGGAGTATCCATCTGCAGGTCAAAGGTTTGAACCTCTTTTCCTGGCCATTCATTTTTTTTGTTTATAATTGAATACAATAGAATAGAATGTCAAATAGAGGACAATGTCAGACATTGGGTAATACCAAGCATAATTGCCAACAACAACATAACTCATTGAAAGGGAAATCAAATACAGATGAACCACCTCTTAAAAATACAAGAACTCATTCTGATGCGAGTGAAGAGAGCAATACTAGTATGCTTGGTGTGTCCGTTATTCAAACACAACTAGATGAAATGAATGAAAGTCTTAGTGAAGTAAAAAAGAATCTGGAGCATGTTCTTAAAAAGGAGGATATTGAAGCTCCGATTAAATCAACTGTTTGTAACATTATAATGGATAAACTTGAAAAAAAGATGCATGAAGATATTGAGAACAAGGTTCAAGAAAAAAACAAAACACTTAAATGAAAAAAATGACTCTATTAGTTTTGAAAATCAACAATTGACAGACCAGCTAAAATCTACATCAACAACCCTACAAAAACAGATAAATGACTTAGAAGAACAAATCCAACACAATGAAAAGAGAAGTAAGGATGCTTTGAAAAACTCCAACTATAATGAACAATACTCACGTAAAAATAATGTAAAAATAATGGATGTTCCAGAAGATGAAGGTGAGAGTAACAGCAACCTGTTGACAAACGTATGTGATATTTTTGCTACACAGAAT